TCCGGGCTGTGCATATCCAGCAGGCCCATCGGGTGAGCTGAGCCAGGCAGCCCGGAGCTACCCACCGTCTGGGTTGTACCTCCCAGATGGAGAGGGAGGGTGGCCATCGGCTCGCCTCAGGCCTGGAAGAGCATGGCGGGGCTGGGGGCTTGGCAATGACCCCAGCTCAGGTCCCCCCTGCACCCACCAGCACTGCCGGGGCAAAGGGAAATCCGCACAGGGAGCAGTTCCAGAGAGCCGTTTGAGAGAAGAAAATAAAAGGCAGGGAGAGGAATAATCTCTCTGATCTTCTGCAGGTAGGAGGGCCGCGCTCGGCAGCTGGAGGTGGCACAGCTGCAGACAGAGGGTTGTATTTTTAAGCTCACGATGCCCGTTAATTCAGTCCTCACAATGCTTTAGGTCTTCCTTGTGAGAAGGCCAAGGAAGGAGGGGGGGGTGAGGTCCACGGCTGTGGTTTCGATGATACTTGGGACCAGCAGAGGCCAGCTGGTGGTCATGGCTGTAGCTGTCCCCTGAGTACTAGGAGCCAATGCTGGTCCCCAGCTGCTCAGAGACTCCCCTGCCTAACTCCAAACCTTCATTTCTTTAGCCAGCTCCAAACTAAGAGGGTGCCTGTGCCCCCGCCATGGGGGGCTGTGCCCACACAGGGCCCCCAAGAAGGAAGCCTGCCTCAAGGTCACGGGCTCGTCCCCAGGGCCCAGCACAGCAGGCAGGGGCACGGCGGGGGGGCAGCCCCTGGGGACCCTGCTCAGCACCCACACGCGGGCGTCCCCTCCCCGGCACTCAGGGTGCTCCAGGGGGCACAGCCCTGCGGCAGCTCACATGCATCTTCCTTGCACCTTCCCACGCAGACTTTTGCGGCAGACCCTCCCCCCTCGGCTGCCTGGTCCTGTGCTGGGGAGCAGGAGAGCCCGAGGTGATGCAGATCTGGAGTGACCCCACCGGTGAGGACCAGAGGCACGGACCCGTCCTCAGGCTGTCAGCGACATGTCTTGCCCAACACCGGCACCACCAAGCCCTTCTTGGGGCTGGGGGGATCAAACGGCTTCCAGCCCTGCTGGCGGCATGTGCACTTGCTGGACATCTCTGCTCAGCTCCTCTTCTCCTTCTGAACTGTCCCTCCCCTGTGCCCACCCGTCCTTCCCCGGCAGGGAAAAGGGGACCAGGCCCCTGCATTGTCCCTCGGGCTGTACCTTGCCACTGCTTGCCATCCCAGGGAAGGGGATGGAGGATGCGGCGCAGGGTCGTGCCAGGCCACCGCGGCCCGGCTGAGGACAGCGACCAGCCGGGCTCTGGCCCGTTTGTCCCCATGACCCGTGTCCTGGGGTGGGGTGGCTCCCCTC